ATCATATGCATCTTTCACTTGTGCCCAGTGCATCTCTGCTTATCTCCTGATCAATCCCTCCTGGAGGGAAATGTCTGAACCAGTCAGTTGACATCCTGTAAAAAGATGGAAAAAGGTATTTTGAGTTGCTGGCAATATTACTTCTGAATCAATAGATCAACATACACTTCGTTAACTATTCAACTGAGTAGAATTAGAACGCATCAAATTACTGACCTAATCGATTTCAATCATTTCTCCGAAAAATGAAAACGAATTAGCAGGACCACTTGTTTAAAAGTCATTATGACTCAAAAACGGAATGAGCTTCTGTCATTTATTATCATAGAACTCTGCTAAAATTTCAAAGCCTTAAAGAAGAAAGGCCTTAGTTTCAGAGGGACGCTACTGTCGATCCAATTACACGTATCCTTGCTTGAAAATCAGCTGCAAATACCCATATTGTCTCCAAAGACTCCCTTCTTAGACGAGGCCCTGGGAAAGAGGTTGAGCTGACACCCATTTAATAATCCCAGCTTACTTTGAAGAGAAATAGTTTCTTGCAGAGGGTTTCCAGGGAGGGGACTGTGTCGTCTGGGCTCCCCACCCTCTCCTCCTAAGATTGCAAACACTTGGTCATCCTGTAGCACCTTATTCACCAGTGAGCTCAAGACCACTGCTACGTATTGCTCCCAAGAAGTGTTTCCATGGTAACGCTGAGTGCCAATCACGCCTACAATTGAGATCCATTCTTTACCCAGGACTTCGCAGCATTCAAGTATATCTGCGAAAAGAACATGTCAGCTATATAAGATGCAGCACTTTTACGTCAACTTCACGTTTCCTTTTGATTTGGCTCACAATTTCTTTATAAAAATCAATAAAACGAATGTTTTGCAAGAAAAAGAGACGACAGACTAAGTTTAATTCAAAAGGATTTGAATAAACCGTTATGAATTTCACCAAAATCTTTCAGCCTTATTAAAGTCTAGGTTTAAAAAGAAGACTACTGTCTCCCGCCAAAAGTCTCAGGTTTCTTTTTTTTTTTGAACGGCCATTCCCGGCCACGAACATATTAATTTAGTTTTTCTGTTTTGAAAGGCAGTTCCCGGCCATGAACATATTAATTTTACTTTTCTGTTTTGAATGGCAGTTTCCGGCCGTGAACATCATAATTTTACTTTTTCTGTTTTGAATGGCAGTTCCGGCCGGGAACAAATTAGTTTTACTACTGCTTTTATTTCACTTTTATTTTTATTTCCATTTCATAATAAAAATGTTTTGTTTTGTTTTGACAGTTAACAAAATGAACCTATTTCCAATTCAATGAAAAAAAAATAATAATTTGACGTTTTACTTTCGCTTTATTTTCAATACAAAATAATTAAAGTTGAATCTAAAATTAACAAATTTATGTCGTTTTGACGAATGGCAGTTGTCGGCCACCATACATCTGTAAATTGCTGAGTACAGAAAAACTGTTTTTGAAATAGTATAATAAAACTGAAAAAAAAAGACGCAGCTGTAAACTGATTAACAGTTTGCTGCTGTTTCTGTAAACAACTTGGGAAGTTACAGGCCATTTTTGCCGGGCCAAATAATTATGTTTCTTCAAACATGATATTCAGCTCCTGTTCTATTATGTATTTTCCCACATGCATTATTGGAAAGGAGCAAATGTACATTTTAGACTACTTTAGAACCTGTTGATAAAACATTATTAACTGACCTGCACTTCGAAAACACAGGTGCAAGCAAGGGTCAATGCCGGAATCAGGAAGAAAAACCTGTCAGGCGCCTTCATCTTAGAAATTAATTTAATAGGTTTCAAACGTCACAACTCATTACTAAAAACAGTTTATGCTTCAACTGTCCGCATCACTAACTTAATTCTGAGCTACTTATTCAAAGGGTGACAATTGAGAAAAGGAAACCAGTGGCTGGAGTTGAGCAAAAGTTTTTTTTTTAATTGTCAGCAAATGGGGGTGTGGATTATGCACTGAAACGGTGTTATTCCAGAGGAACTTCTGAATCCAACACAGACTTCCTTTGACTTCATATGCCTGTCGCCACTGAAGTTGGCTTCGTTTTCAGATCAGTCAACCATGTGATTTGTGAGTGAAGGTAAGAAACGACCCCAGTAAGCCGAAAAATCAATGAGAAACCAACAAAATATTAAGTGGCGGTATAATTTAGAAACCGTGATGTGAACAACTACGATAAAACTTAGAAAACCCTTAAATAATTTTCCAGCGGGCAGCAGAGTTCTCGGATCGTGAAGTTATCTAGTTGCTGAAGAGTTTTTTAAACACGCGAATTTTCTCCTTCTGTAAGAGATGCTTACATCAGCCATCCAGAAGACAATGGACTCTGGAGCTCCTACATACACACTTACGAACTAAGGGCCACATCGCAGTTAAATCGGCAGAAGCGCATTCTAAAACTTCGTCAAAAAATACTTCTCACAATGCTACGCTGTTGCGTTTTGTAATAATCGTTCCGATAATAGGAAAGACTTGACGCTTCATGTATTTCCGAGGGATTTTTGCCGGAGCCGTTAGTTTTTCCTCTGACCACTTTCCAAAGCACGATCATTACAGGGGCACCCAACAACGGATTCCTCCTAAATACATTGATAACGCTTTTTAGGCTATCCAGAGTACTTTTAGATGTCTAGAAGTGTATTCTAGGCCTCGCTTTCATGCTTACGTCGAAAGACGAAATTCAGGCTGTCGAAAATGTGCACTATATTTAGATTTCGTTTTTTTGCCTCTAAAACGTTTGACTACTTGGTTGATTGTTCCAGGTTCTCACTAGAGCTGTGTCTCATTGAAAATCTGAACCTTAATAATTTCAAGTTTCAGAAAACATCGAGAACATTTAGTAACAACCTAAAAAAACGCACTTTAAATCTGCATGCTGATGAAATCTTTCTACTTGACACGATTTGTTTTTCTTCAATTCATTTTAAAAAAAAGACCGGAAGTTTTCAAATTGTCGAATAGACTTTGACCACTTCTGGAAGTTAAATTGAGTCAGGACTTTCCACATTATTTGTTCTATCAAATGTTTTGGTAAAAGTAGAACGACTAATAACAGCCGTGCCCGAATCACGGCGTGGGTACTTGAAAAAAAGGTGTACTGTACAGTACCGCAAATGATCCCCAACCGCAAATGATCCCGAGACCGCAAATGATCCCCAAAATGGACCGCAAATGATCCTCGACCGCAAGTGATCGCCAAAGTCGACCGCAAATGATCCCGAAAGAAAAATAGGAATGACTTGGACTCAAGTTAGCGGATCATCGTGTCGATTTTATCATTATTACAGTAAGTCAGGTTAAAAGCTAACTTTTACTTCTCAAGTAAATATATGAATAAAGACTGAATGAAAAAAATCATTCAAGAGTAAAAACGAAGTAAGTAGGCAACACACGACTTTTACCTCATGCTAAAAATAATGCTGCTTGTTCCAATGACTTTTTTCCGGCTCTGGCGGGTAGATTATACCTCTGAGGAAACGTTTTGACTGAGCAAATGTGGTTTTTGCTGCTTATTTCATAGTGAGAGGTCATGACACGCATTTTCTGCGGTTATTGTTGTTTCTGGTCGGCATGATTTGCCCTTTGATGCAACAGCAGTTCCTTTGACCTCTTTTGAAATGCAGTGCTCTTCATTGCCGCTAAATAAGGGTTTTAGGTTGTTTAATTTTCTCCTAAGTGCCTCCTGGATCCGAATAATCATAAGCGATTTTCTTTTAGTCCGTGAATGTGACGGTTTCTTTCGATGTTTTGTCACGCGATAACTACCGCTTACCTGGCTTTGCGTTTCTCATTACCAGGTTTAGATTTCTGGTAACTGTTTTCAGCAAAGCACAACAAATGAATATACATAAAAACGCTAACATAACTATTCACAACACGTTCATGAGATGTAAGAAAGTTGCTATTTCGAAATAAACCGAAACCTGTGGACATTGATGAGTTCGGGGGCATTTTGACTTGTGTTTATGTTAAATCATATCTTGTTTCGTAACGGGCACCTAAGATACCAACAAATGTCTTGCTGTTTATCACGTAAAAATTAACACTTCAGAGGAAAATCAAAATGAAATATTCTGGCTGATCAATTTCACGCTTTCAAAAAGATCAGTAAGTCAATAAAGCTCTTGTTAGGTAGAGGGTGCCCGGCTTTGTATTCCTCAATAGAAAGGTTGAGCGTCTAGGCGTTAAAACAATTTTTCTGCGTAACGTCCTGCCTTTCTTAATTAAATTTTTCAAAAGACGAAACATTCTTGAAAGAAAATTGAAGCAATCGACAAAGGAAGAAGTATACGGTTAATACAATACCTTTTCAGATTTATTCCATTTTTTTTTTTCGCCTTGTATAAATTGACCTGAGATGTAGCGTCCTCCTTCCCTTTTTCTTTAAAAGGCGAGAGAAATAGGTTTCTTTTTTATAATCAGTCCTTTTTTGTAATCAGTCCCATAAAATCCATTCCATTCCTCAAGTTTTCACGGGATCATTTGCGGTCGACTTTAGGGATCACTTGCGGTCGAGGATCATTTGCGGTCCATTTTGGGGATCATTTGCGATCTCGGGATCATTTGGGGCTGGGGATCATTTGCGGTACTGTACAGTACTATATTCACATTAAGTGCCCAGCACTGAGTACCTTACTCGGCCACCGTGCCTGGGCACCCCGTCCGTCCTGGTAATGGAGATGAAATACTCGTTAAGGATAGTACGTCTTCTATTTGCATGCAGTCATCTCGCAAATTTTACAAAAGATATTGAGGCATGCGGTTTACCGGGATCTTATCAATACAGGGTCCTTGCCACGAGGTTTTCTTGAGCACCGATTGAAGAGGGTCTGAATGGGGGGAGGGGGAATCCACTTGTCGGTTGTCGGTTAAAATTCAGTCACTTTGTCGGTAGTCGGTTAAAATCTGCGATCTTTGTCGGTTGTCGGTAAAACTCAGTTAATAAGTAAAATGGCTTGTTAATTATTAATAGTTGTTATGAATTTCACCCAGTATCAAGACATTGATCCCTAAGGTAAGAGTAAATTATGGAAGAATGCACAATTTGATTGCACTTAAACTTTATTAACTCTGGTTTTTTATGTAACATGGTCGGGGTTTATTTCATCTTTGTTTGCCAATATGGAACTGATAAAATCACCAAAGCTTTTATTGTAAATGCGAACTTCGTTCCCCTGTTGACTACAGGGCACAATAAAACAGTAATTAATTAATTAATTGACACAGGGGAAAATGCCCACTTGAGCCTTTTGGATATTTAAAATATTTTTAGTGAAAAACTGTAAGGGGTGACAGGCTGCACATCTATACCTTAATATTTTGGCTAAAACAAGCATGTCCTTTTCCGTAATTCTCCTTTCTCAAGAAAATAATAGGTGGTTCTTTAAAATTTTGGTAAAGTAATGGTTGGTTTTTCA